ATTGCCGATTTCAGTTATAGATGTCTCTCACTCCCATTTTTATGATATCCGTAAATGTTATATTATAAAATTATTATTATTATTATCATTATTATTATGTTATTTTTTATTATCAGTGAATGTTAGCAACTGGACAAATTGAATGCAACGGTCAAGGAAAATCGACCAGAATTGGTCGATCGTAAAGGTGTCATTTTCCACCAGGACAATGCTAGGCCGTACACGTCTTTGTCCACTCGGCAAAAATTGATGGATATTGGTTGGGAATTGATGTTACACCTACCATATAGTCCTGATCTCGCGCCATCGGATTACCACTTATTTCGATCCCTGGACAACTCCCTTCGTGGTAAAACTTTTAATGGTTATGACGCTGTAAAATCTCACTTAACTCAGTTTTTGGCCGAAAAGGATCAGACTTTCTACGAGCGTGGAATTTTCAAGTTGTCAGAGAGATGGCAAAAGGTCATCGAACAAAATGGAAAATACATTACAGATTAAACTTCATTCCAAGTAAAAAAAAATCATTGAACAAATCGGAAATTACTTAGTTGCCAACCCAATAATATATCGACGTTATTAATTGCTTTCGATGTGTTTACTGTTTGAAATTGCAGATACCAGGGTTAATGAATACAATTTTATTTGTCACTATGGAATAAATATTTAATCGAATACAAATTTATCTAGATAAAAATTTATTTGAATAAAATTTTGTTCGACACTATCGAATAAACATTCAATCAAATGAAACATTATCTAGATAAAAATGTATCCAAATAAAATTTTATTCGAATAAGAATTTATTCGTACAGGAATTCATGCGAAAAATGATTGACCGGAATAAAAATAATAGAATATAAAATGCTTTTTCATAGATTATCGATTTATTTCAAACATTATTCGAATAAATAGATAGAATAATTTATAGCGTATCATTCGGATAATTATATTAGATTAATATTTATTCGAAACAATCCCAATAATGTCCAAATCTGGCAAATACTCATTCTTGTCATAAATGAATAAAATCTGCGGTCTACTTATTGTATGAAAGGAAATAATAATTAATATGAAATTACAAAAGAAGAATTGATTTACACAGTACAATTATTTGACTCCATAAGATGGTAAATAAATCTTTCAAGAGATGTATAATTTGTGCGAGCTTTGCTGCATGAATTCAAACGATTACCAATTCTATTGGGTTGTGTATATTGACCGTTACGATAGATGCATACAATGCAGTTGTTCA